ATTCCTGTATATCTGCATAGAGAATCTAGAGTTGTTACCTGGTCTAGACCTTACTTCTTGGGAACAGGAAGCATAAGGGTGAGAGCTTTCAATTTCTTAAATACTTACTGAGACTTAAAAATGAGATATGTTCCTGCAAATAGTTGAGTATTTTTCTGCTTAAACAGGTTCTTTCCAGTGTTAGTATTAAGGTACTTGGAAAATAAACGTCTCTGTTGCTGAAAGTACAATGTCATTTTACAGTGTTTTGTTTTTCTAATTTTGCAATGAATTTGGACAGTTGAATGAAATTATCTTGCTTGATGCTTTCATTGTTCTAGCATATGGGCTGCAAAATGTTGGGTTTATTCTACTGTGAAATATACTTAGATGATTTATTTGTATCTATAAACTAGCCTGAGCTGTGGGTCGTGGTCCACACTTACAGAGGTCAGCATGTGATGTTCAAGAACCAAGGAATCTCCAGAAATTTGATTTGGTATCATGGGCTTAAACCCCATTAGAGCACAGTGGGTTTTGTGAAAGCATGTGTTATTTGCATGTAATTGAACGTAATGTAATTTGGATCTAAAACAGAAAAGGCAGTTTGAAGATTAGTGTCAGTGCTACATGGTGCCAAGATGCTACTGAAGTGGATGTACTCAGATTTTGAGTAGTGTAAGGTCAAAGAGAATCTTGAGCCTGGACTAAATAAAAGTAACATCCATCTTGATTACATCTTTTGGTTCTGAGTTTTGCTTTTGGTGACCTTAAGGTACTTAAATCTTCTATATTATTTTGTATTTGCAGAAACATGATCCTCCCCTTAGTAGCATTCCCTGCTTGCATTACAAAAAAATGAAGGAGAATGAGGAAAGGGAACAAAACAATGACATAACCCCAAATGGAGAAGTATCACCTGTAAAGCACCTAGATAAATCTTCAGAACTGGACTGCCAAGCAGAAGAACCAGATTCTACTGCTGCTGATTCTGGGCCTTTAGATGACAAAGACACCTCAGGGGGAGATGGAGCACAAGGAGCCTTAGGACAAGTTAAGGCCAAAGTTGAAGTATGTAAAGATGAATCTGTAGGTACGTGTGGGAAGCGGAGTCTTCTCTTGGCTGGAGTTGGGGTAATGGCATTTGGGATACATGTGCTTTATTCCATACTTGGCAACTGAGTAATATCTTGCCTGAGATCAAGTGGTCATCTGTCTTTCTGCATGTTCTTTTGTAAGCAGAGATCTAGACAAAGAGATCCAGTATTAGAAATCAATTTTGATTTTAACAGGAAGATAAAAATACAGTGGAGATTTTTGCAGAAGACTTGAAAGTCCCCATGGAAGGGTTTTATACCCAAAAATGTGAAAGTTCTCAAAGTTTAGTCCTGTAGGCTTTATCTCAGTTTAAGAATGAACTTACCACAACTACATACCTGACAGTACCATCCATGTAAATTACTACTCAGAATTGCTGGTAAAGATTGTAGGCTACCACCTATCTTTGCAGTGTTCAGACATAAACCCTTCATTGCACATGTCCTGTTCAGTCCAAAAAACATGCCAAAAGATTAAAAAAAAATTAATACTTAACAGCAAAACTAAAACCAGTAAGCACTTACTTTCTATATGAAGTTACCTGTCTCTCTCAAATAGGATCTATTTTGTATTACTGAAAAAAAAATGAATGATCAAGTATAAGCATGAATTGCATTTGGAATTCCTTGTGGAAGGAAATGTTTTATCTTAGGATGCTACTCTTTATTTTTGCTAACTATACGGGCAGAAATATCCTATAAAGGAGAAGCAACTGTACATCAAGGGGGTCAGTCTTTTAGTACTCAGCATGTGAAAATGAATGTGTTAAATTATGTTTAGAAGCCAGCAGATACTCAAGGAACTCATGTGGTGTCATGATGTAGCGTTTCATGGTACGCTGTTTAGTAAATAGGCAGCAATAATCACTTTTGGCTTCAGGAAACTGAGGCTAATAGTATAACTACTGTTATTCACTGTATAACTTGCTTTACATGATTACAAGGTGAATAGGTGATGAAGTAGAACAATTACCAGTGCTTTCTTACAAGTTGTGTTGGGTTTTATGCTGGTTATACTTTAGTAGAATCTTGAGGTGATAGAATAAAATGTTTAGTTTTCCAGTTTGCACAAATGTTTTTGCATTTATGCCAGTAACAGGAAAACCTGTGATTAGTTCTGTTAGTATAAAATAGCTCTTAACCTTGAGTGTGTGAACTAAAGCTGCTACTTTTGCTCTTAAAATAAAACACACCAAAAAAAGCAGAATCACAGAATTGTTCTGGTTGGAAAAAAACATTAAGATCAGTGAGTCCAGCCTTTGAGATCAGTAAGTCCAGCCTTTAAACAGTCATAACGTGTATAAAACAGTGGAAACAGCGAATTTAACATATGCTCAGTGGTAAAGTGGAAGGATTAACTTGCTTCTGTTTCTTAGATCTGGAAGATTTTAGACGCTATCTGGAAAAGCGTTTCGACTTTGAACAAGTTACTGTAAAAAAATTCAGAACCTGGGCTGAGAGACGGCAATTCAATCGTGAGATGAAGCGGAAGCAGGCAGAGTCTGAGAGGCCTATTCTGCCTGCCAATCAGAAACTCATTACCTTGTCTGTGCAGGATGCACCTACAAAGAAAGGTTAGTTTGTCTACCTGTCATTCAAATATTCTTTATCAAAGACTAACAACTGTTCTAAGTTGGATTGAAGAGAGAGAAAAAATCATGTAATAATTCCGCTTTTGTGTTCTAGAAATCTGTGTTCTTGGATCCATCATGTTACATAGAAAATATTGTCAAAATATACTGCCTATTAAAAAGAATAATTCCTAAATGAAAATACTTTTATTTAAGGCTGCCATCCTGGTAACTGGTTACTACCTTCAGCTACTTGTTGCTGTTGGTCTTCACTGAAAACCCTCCTGCCTTGTCACTCAATGCTGCTGCCTTCTTAGTTCTGTACCAGTTCTAATTGGTCCTAAATTAGGGACTAGTTAAAAATGCCAGATTGATCCAGATTAAAACCTAAAATTAAAAATACGAATGTAAAGCAGTTTGATGGAAACAGTTAGAACAACATTTCTGTGCAGTTCAGTTGAGTCCTGTGCTGTGTGGCTATCATGTCTGATGAGAGGCTAGGGGAGTTAGCTGTATTGGCTGTGTAGTAATATGTCTAACTGCAGTCTGATATTTAACATGTCCATAACCTGTCATTTGGCTGTTGTTCTTGTTTTCTATGTTCTCATGTTTCTGGATTTCTTCTCTTCAGCAGAATTAAAGCATATGAGTTGCATATTGACCATTCCCTGTTACAGGGAGATGCAGTTGAATTTTATTTAATACTCTTTTATCTTAAATCCTAGGTTTAGAGCCACATTCAAACCATTTAATGCAGGGCAAGGCTTGCTGATCAGGATTTAATGGGGAAAAATAAGAAGTGATTCTAGTTTGTGGATTTGAAGTCTGTGTGGCTATTGTTAGAAGGGAGATACAATATGTATTTAGGAGAAAATTAGAGGATTTATAATTGATGTTAGCTGCCAAAAAATGCTGTGTGTAGAGGTCCAGAGACTATGGGATTGCAAACTTTGAACATAGAATATTTAACTTAGCTCATAATTACTGCACTTCCAGTTGTTGGTAGAAATTTCTCAGACTTACCTTCCAATACTTTTTCAGAGAAAATTGATTTGGAGGTTATCATTATTCATGTCTGATTCAGCAGCACTTAACCCTTGTAACTTTTGGGTTGGTTGGTTGTAGTAGAAATTTTAAAGACCAAAAATGCTTAGATGTCTTCACCTTCCTTCCTATTTTTTTTACAGAATTTGTCATTAATCCCAATGGGAAATCTGAAGTTTGCATACTGCATGAATATATGCAAAGAGTCCTAAAGGTTCGCCCTGTTTACAATTTCTTTGAATGTGGTAAGTCTCTTAAATTTTTAAACTATATTCTGTGTCATTGATGAGAAGGGTAGTTTGGTAGTTCCTGTCTTGTTTTTTTCCTTTAAGTTCTAGCCAGATTGCTTTAAAGCAATCTTCAATGCAGCTAGATACAAAGTGGTATCTCACACTTCCCTTGCATTTTCACCTTTGCCAGGGTTTGTTTGGCATACCTTACAGTGAAGGAAGAAACGAGACCTTTCCAGCTTGAAAGCATTCAGTCTTGCAGTCAGCACCCAAGGAATTACAAGTCAGGCATCACAGTTTAGTGTGGAATCTATAATTATTCAGAATTACTTTATCCCTATAAATGCACTGTGTAATGTAATTGAATTTTCAATACCTGCATGTGTAGCTCTTGTATTGACACTGTATTAGTGATAGAGGAACTTTGGAATTGACATTTGAATTCTGGCAGATTACAAATGATCTCTTAAAATGTAGTTCTTCATTTGGAAGAGTGAAGTCCATGGTGGTAAGTCTAAATTTTCATCCCTCTTGAAGTTGAAACAGAAGAAGAAAGCAAATCTTGATAGTGGTGGAGTTTTGTGTTCATGATGAGGGTTTTACATTGAGAGTTCTTAAAAGCTTTCTTTCTCTTAACTCCTTCACTTACAGAGAACCCAAGTGAACCTTTTGGAGCCTCAGTGATTATTGATGGAGTAACTTACGGGGCAGGAACTGCCAGCAGCAAAAAACTTGCCAAGAATAAAGCTGGTAATACTTCTTTTCTTATGTAGTACCAGCTGTTGAATTGTTTAGCTGTTCTCATTTCTGCTTTGAAAATGTATTGGTAACAATAAGTAGAAATATTTTTGTTAATAGTAAGAAAATGTACACGTGTCTTTTTAGTAGAAGTGATAAATACCGTTGTAGAGACTTTTCTGGCAACCTCAGGTTCAACAGTGAACTGCCAGTAGAACATCATGAAGAAACTGCAGATCATAACTCACATGTAAACCGTTGATGTGTAGAGTCTGTCTGACCTGTAAAGTTCTCCAGTGTGACTGGATATTTCTAGGGGAAGTGTGAAGCTTACTTAGAGTGCTTCATTCTGCTGTTCTTCTTTATAATCATTGTTTAAAATAAATGTAATCAAAATGTTAAATAATTTTCTGCAGCTCGAGCTACACTGGAAATCCTTATTCCTGACTTTGTTAAGCAGACCTCTGAGGAGAAGCCCAAAGACAGTGAAGAACTTGAGGTACTCAACTCTTGCTGTCTGTCATTTTTGGAGTCTGTTTTTAACAATGTTGCACCTTCACTGTTAAAAATAATAAATAATAAATGTTCATAATACTTTTTCTTGGTGAGATGGCAATGTGAAATTCTTTATTTATAGCAAGATTGATGGCAATGAAGACACTTTTTTTTCTGTTGGAACTGATCAGAAAATTTACTGTGATGCAGAGAACTAGTCCCTTGTTGAAACATCAGGTCACTTACTGAAGACCTGAAATGTTCCAAAACACTAGCGCCTGTACTGTCCTGACTTCCAGAGTCCTCTGGTTGATGCTGTGACAAGTTCAGAGCTAGATGCTCTCTGGTTTTCTATGATCATCTTAGAAGAGCAAGTAAGAACTGAAAGTGCCCAGTCTTCTGAGGCATTTTTTCTTAGATATGAAGGCTACATATTACCAGATCAGACAACTGAAATTTCAGACTCTAATCAGTGATATTTGAGAAAATCATGGGAAAAGTTTCTTTAGGTGGAGAGCTTGTGCTACATCTTCAGGTATTGGAAATATTAAATATATATTTCATTAGTGATGGAGTCACTTTCAGTTCAGCATGTAACAGACCATCAGGTGACCAGCCTGAAAGGAATGTTTTAATTTTAAAGACTATAATATGCAGAATTAATTATTTGTACATGTGCTTTAACTTAAAAAACTGCGCACCCTACATTAGTAAAATGGTACCTGAGAGAACGCGAATAACTTTTTCCATTTTTTTAAAAATTAAAATACAAAATGCTCCAATAGCTGCTATGTTTTCTTTTATTAAACTACAGCATTTTGGTAGGTAGAGTTTCCTACTTAGTTAAATAAATTAACCTCATCCTGAGGGAGGAAGGATGCTAAAGAAATTGTAAGATTGTAATTTTTATGTCCATCTTATGTAAAATTTGAGTTAAAATAATTATTTTAATTTCTATCTGCAAATATATGATTAAGTGTGACAGTCTTAATGATGTTGGTAAATACCTCCATTATGATTTTAAAAATACTTCTGGAAGTATTAAGCAGAGAGTATTAGAATCTGTTGAATGTTGCAAAGGAGAAATGAGGGTTAAGAACAGTACTAAGGTCTTACTTGTGCAGAAGCTCAATAACTCTTTTCAATCCCTTTGTAGTATTTTAACCATATCAGTATTGAGGACTCACGGGTATATGAACTCACCAGTAAAGCTGGACTCTTGTCTCCATATCAAATTCTCCATGAGTGCCTTAAAAGGTAGGGCTGCAGAATAAAGAATGAATTCTGTTGTGGTGGCTGGGGCTGGGGCGTGTTGTTTGCATGGTTGCTGGTACCCATAGTGTTTGTCAGTAACTTTGTGGGCTGGCCAAGCTTCCTGCAGTCACTCTGGCTGTAAGAAACATAGTGTGAGCTGAACTGTTTAGTGCTGTATCTTCCTTTATTTGCTGTTTATGCCTCTTGTCTTCTAAGATTAGAATTTAGTTAGGGGACATACTTGTTTTTCCTTTATATAGGCTTGCCTTTCCATGCAACTCAAGTTACTGATCTATAAAAGAACTCACTGTCCTAAAATTTATTATTATAACTAATTCCATTGCAATGACTGTCAAAGATAACTGACTGCTTCAGTTTTTTGCAGTTTTACTTAGAGTATGATACTGATTTTGTTTGTGCTTAAGAAACCATGGGATGGGTGATACATCTATAAAGTTTGAAGTGATTCCTGGTAAAAATCAGAAGAGCGAATATGTGATGACTTGTGGCAAGCACACGGTGCGAGGCTGGTGTGAGTATAGTACTTGGTGTCACCTCTGATATCTTCCATTTTTCCTGCTCTTCTTTGTGGTCCATTTTGTAGGTGCTTGTTAAGCTATCTCACATTTTCATTATTATTTTTACAGGCAAAAATAAAAGAGTGGGGAAGCAATTGGCTTCCCAGAAGATCCTACAGCTACTGCATCCACACGTGAAAAATTGGGGCTCTCTTTTGCGTATGTATGGTAGAGAGAGTAGCAAGATGGTTAAACAGGTGAACATGATTTTGTTTGATTGTACTTTACCTTGTGATAATATTTCTGCTTTTGTATTTTTCTGTTTTTAATTTATTTACAATTAAGCTTTAAAGGTATCTGTTTTGGCCTAGGAGTGTTGTTCCCTGTCATGGTCAAGGCAGAGAGCAATCCTTGGTTCTTCTGAATTGAATCTCACACTTTGCTATTGCCAGAACATTAGTTGAGTGCTTTCAATGACCAGAATAATTAATCTTAAAATTTCCAGATCAAAGTTATATAACCTATTTAATATTTAACTGACTCATGTAAATATATGTTATTACTTAAGAAAGTGCAACTGTCAGAGATTAAAACTTCTGCTCCAAGTATTTTAATTTTGTTTTGTTTTGCATCAAAAGAAGCTCATCTGTTGTTGCTTGTGTTCTGTTGAACAGGAAACCTCTGATAAAAGTGTGATAGAACTTCAGCAGTATGCCAAAAAGAACAAGCCAAATCTGCACATCCTGAACAAGTTACAGGAAGAAATGAAAAAACTGGCACAAGAAAGAGTGAGTACATTCTCTTTTGTATTTATAAACAGAAAACATCGGTCAGACTTACCAGTTACTGCAAGTTTTGCAAATTTGTTTTTTTGGTGGGGACCTATTTCTGGAGAAATGTTCATCCTCTCTTTTAAACAGGCTTGTAAGTGAATTAAACCTGCTAGTTTGTTTTTTTTTATATTAGAACAAGTTAGCCGTTCACCAAGGTTGACACACAAGATTGGCTGAAAGAGTTCAGAATGTTAAAGCTGTCTTTAATGTTTATATTCTCTTTATGACTGTGTGGTGGGGTTTTTCATGTCCTTGTAGGAGGAAACACGAAAGAAACCCAAGATGACAATAGTGGAATCAGCTCAGCCTGGTAGTGAACCTCTGTGTACCGTTGATGTGTAATGGGATGATGTACAAGTGGGAGCAATAACACAAATGGAGGAACTAGATTTTCAACAATTATTTAAAAATTCTTCGCTGCAGAATTTAAGATAACTTTTAAAATCCAAGCTGCTTCAGTTATGCATTGTTCTTTTTGCATCATCAGGGCAATATTACTTTTTCCTACTTTCTTTTTCTTTTTGGTTTTGTTTTTTAATACCTCTGCAATATGTACGTTTTAAAGAATTGATCATAAAGATTTCTACTTGGGCAAATGCACAGATGATAGGCATGTTCACACAGGATAACCTCAGTCAAGCACTTTTTCCTGGAAAGCCATCCATGTTGTTTGAAATGGATGTTTTTTAAGGATGAAATACAGAATTTCTATGTACAGGTTGAAGCTGATATTATATATATATATACACATTCATATATATGTATATGTAAAAGAAATATATGTACATCTTCTTGTATGAACATGCCTAAAACTATTTTTGTGACAAGTTTCATTGCATTTCAGCACATAATAATATGCACTGATAAGACACTTTGGTGACAAACACATGAAAGTGATAAGCAATGTTCCTAATGCCATAGGATTAGGCCAGTAATGCTGTTTCTTTTGTTCTGTTTTAGTTTTTGTCTCCTGCCAGGCTTAATTATTCAAGATCACAGTATGCAGATTTTTTATTACTTGAAAAGAACAAGTATACCTGGTAGTGTTAAGAGCAACAGGCTGGATATCCAGAATTATTGGGTTATATTTTAATTGAAAAGAGTCTATGTTAGTTTACACATCAATTGAAAGGGCCCTATTTGTTTGATTAAAATAAAAGCTGTAATTTGAAAGACTGTTTTCAAAGCTTGGAGCCAAAATGCAGCTGATGATGGTTTGACAGTCAGAAAATAAGTTTGCCAGTGAAGTGTTTAAAAGACCTTCTACTCCCTTTTCCCAGCAATAAAACAATTTCTCATTTGTTTTGAGTCAGAGTGTATCTGACTTGATCAATTAAGTCTTAATTCATTTGCATCATAAAAGCAAGGAATTAAAAAGCAACCCACAGCACTATCCCTAGAAATCTGTAATACCTGCAGCAATTTCAGTTTTTTAAGAAGTTTTTTTGTTTACTTTTTTTTTTATTACAGTTTTAGTTTTTAAAGAAGAAGTGTAACTTCTGCAATGAAAATTAGAATGTAGATTTGGAATATGACATAGAGTGATGAGTAGAATGAGACCATAACAGGTTATACTGATAAATAAGAAAAACACAAATATGCAACTATTATAAAATACAATCTTGGAAAACAAGCAGTACTCACTATGTCATCTGAGGCTTTATTAAATTAAGCACAGAAGAAATAGTTCTGGCTGTAGTGAAAGCACTGCTTTGTGGGTTTTGTTCTTCATATGGAGTTCTTTACTGGGTGGCTGCAGTAAGTCTTCTCTTAGAACCATTTTTGTGTGTTCTTCGGTATGTTCTTGAAGAAGAGAAGCTGGTGATAGGGCTTCAGTGACTGATCCAAGAGTTGTGCTGCTCTATTTTCCACTCCTACCCCTGCAGGAGTGGAAGAGGTGGTCAGTTCTTTATAATTGCTGCAGCTCCTGGTACTTACCTGGACAGTGATCTGGGGGTTCTTAATTTTGTTTTCTTGGTGGTTGTTTTTTTACCATGTTACATGAGTGCTGCAGTATAATTAATTTAGTGCCTACTGGATTTTAACAATATTGGCATCAGTATTGTAAGACTTCCTTTTAATATCACCCATTATCTTGGAAATACATGGATTTTAATTTAGATCTCAAGCTAATGTTCTCTAATATGTTGCATATAATGTTTGAGTTAAACAGGAAGGGTCTTGGGAGTCGTCTTACCTGTTTCTGTTTGAGTGAAATGCTGAGAGGTCTCTGTAACTATGAATTCACCCATTTTTTATTATTATTTAGCTTTTCAGTTTAATGAGTTGTAATCCTGTTATAACAGGATACGGGTAGTTGGAAGACTATACAGAATCTTATGTAAAGAAGTGGCCTATCTAAAAAAAACAACAAAACAACAAAAAAACACTGCCTCTGCTTTTTTTTGTATAGCTTTAATAAATCTCCATCTTTTGAAGGGTATATAATACTGGTGCAGTAGTGACAAGCACTGATTACTGTTTGCCTCTCTCTTTTTGTTGTGTTTTGGGTTTTTTTCCTCTTTTGTTTTTATTTTGTTTTCATAAAAACAGGGCTTACCTACTATGCCTAAATATATTGCTCTTTTTAGGTAGGTTTTACTTCAGCTTATGTTTTCAGCAGAAAAATCTGTACTTGGATGGCACTGTAGAAGACAAATCACCCATGTAGATCTCTCTTATTTTTCTGCAATCAGAATGTCAATGCATTTGCAGGTCACCTGCAGAATATCCACAGATGCCTCGCTCACTAATTAGTCTTCATTATTTTTAAGAGGATTGCTGTATTACCTCAGTCTGCCACTATCCGAATCACAAGGTGACCATTGCCCTTAATAAGAACATCCAGAGATTTCATTGTGAACCAAAGCCTAGGACGTATATTATGCATTCTAAACAAAAAAAACAAACAAAAAAGATGGTATTAGACCTTGCTGCAGCCTTTAACTGGAGAGATGTCCAGAAAATAGCGCAATAACTGCTGGAACAAACAACTTAACTGCTGTTTATGTCATTGTGAAGTATTCTTGTGTTTTAATGTTTACTATTGTTTGGAGTGTAACAGTCTTGCATTTGCACATAAGCACGAGCTGCTGTGATAGAGGATAGATCATTGCATTAACTTCAGCTTCTGCATGAACACTTACAGTGTGATTCAAGATGTATCCTAAACTTGTCTTGTAACTCTTGTGTGTTTTCTAGGTAATCGGCTGTAAAGGTTTAGATCTTGATTGTATGAATGCATAAAACAACTGCTGCTTTTGTCACTGATATTTGTTATTTATCTCCTCTGTATCCAGAGCAGGATGGGTATTTTTATAGGGATGGAGTGTATTTTTAAGAACTGTTCCATCCTTTGGGAATTAAAGACAGTTTTTGCTTTGCATATTATGTGCTTCTCAACAAAAGTGTGGTATATTGACTTTAAGGATAAAATTAGTGTGCATTCAAGTCTTTTTATGGTACTGATGGAAAACTTACTGTGACTTCCAGTGACTAGTCAGATGCTACCTATTTAAACACCAGTCATCCAGCTTTTTCTTACGTATTTATTAAACAGAAATGATGAAGTAGTTGGGTACTCAGAAGTTTGGAAAAACTATTATGCATAAACTTAACTGTTGTTTGTAAACTTTCACTTTCCTGTGATGCTGTTAGGCTTTATAGAAATATATTTGTAACACCCAAGTATTTGTAAGCATCATTATTATCTTATTAATTCTCTTGGACTGTACTTTGGTTCTGGAGTAAAATTCAGGAAGTGATTGCCTCCTAAATTAGCGTTGGAAGAAATGTGAAGTGTGAGAAGCCATGCTGTTGTTAACCAAATAAAATGATCAGTTACAGTATTCTGATGTGTATCTGAGAAAGGAAGGTGAAAAAACACAACAGAAATTGTTTACTGCCCAAGTAGGTTCCAGTGGTTGCTGATGAATTGTATTGGGTGCAGTTGCTTGATGCCAGTGCTAAATTGGTACAACTCTAAAGCCTCATTTTCACTGAGCCTCTGCTTGCTTTTTTTTCTGCACAATCATATAATCCTATGTGTTTGGTCTTTGAGTACTACATGTGTATTTTTCAGACAATTAGTTTTGAGCAATAAAGTTTGATATTATAAAATGCTCCAGTGTGATCAGTATTATGATAGCTTAAGCATATTTAGAAAAGAAACTTGAGTTCTTGATTCTTGCAGGTATTTTCAAATAGAAATTAAATCAGTACAGGCTCATCGGTTACAGAAGTACTTACCACTTTTTTGGTAATGAATTTAACGTTTACATGGTTAGACATCACTTGGAATGAAGTGGAATTTAAACTTTTTATTTCATTGGAATTCATATTTTTACTTGCACGATGCAGCCCGAAGTTGTTTTGGTGCCTGTTGTCACACACCTTCCTAAGTGGAAAGGAAGGGCTACCAGCATGTCCATCTGCTAGGACAGATACTTCGTTCAGTCTGTATTAAATGTACATTAGAAGTATGATCAGCAAGTTTAAAATGGTTATTCCTTCTAACAGTCAGTGTAATTGTGTATTCTGTAGTGTGGACCACAATCTGTTAAGTTATTGCCAGGTGCTGAGTATCTGTTTTGAGATAGAAATCCTGACTGAAGAGCAACATGTGCAAGGGCAGGAGTGTCCACTAGGTTTGTCTCCGTGAGTGCAGCTTAAGGTGCTGAGCCTCATAGTTAAGGACATGACCCAGGTACCTGCAGTAGTTGTTGTGGTAAGGTTTTGCATTAAATAACTGCCTTTTTCTCTTAACTGCACAGGGCTCTGAGTAGAACAGTTTGGAAGATACTTGAGGTAAGATCTATGGCAGAGGTTTGGTACAAAGAAACACTGTGTCCAAAAGTATACTTGATTATAACCTCAAAGGCTGAGTAAGCTGAGGTGTAATATTCTTAAGAATTAGACATTACTCTTCCATAAACATATTTTCCAGGAGGCTGAGGTTAGCTGTTTTAAAGCTACTGCAGGATCAAAAAGCTACAGATCATTGCAACATAGGGAGGTACCTGACTGAAGGTATCCACTGAGCAGGCTTACTAACAGTCTGAGAGGAAAATTAACCTCTAGCAAAACCTAAAACCTTAGTACTTCTTGCCAAGATGGCTGTCCCTGGCTAGTGGCCGTATAGTAAATTTCTGAGTGTAAGTCTTCACTAGTGAGGGTATGCTTGAGTGAAGTCATCTTAGCCTTGTACGTTGTAGGAAATGACAGAAGAAAGCCTTTATTGTATTTTCAGTTACACTAGTCTCAGAATAAAACTGATTTCAAGAGTGGAAATGTTAACATTTTAATTAGAATAAGAGTTTGTTGCTTCCTCCTAACGATGTGGCAAATTGATGATTTATAGAAGGTTTAAGATTGCTAAACCTTTAATAGCTCATTCAAAAGGCACAACAGTGTTTAGACAGTTGTTGATAAACAGCAGCTATTCACTAACACTTGAATTATGATGTATGACACTGGAAGGTATGGCCTTGTGTTGAAGTCATGAAAGTTTCAAATAGCTGTATCTGATCGTGGTTGTGGAATACTGTACTTAAGGCTACACTTCAGCTGTTTTAAGGAGTGAGACCACCATCTATGTTACTTTGCTCACCTCAAGTTCCCCCAAGAGCAGGAAGAAAAAAAAGCAGGAAGAAAAAAAAGCAGGATTTGGCCTAATTGTACTTGAAGAAATTAAACTCAAACTAGTATGGTGAAATAACTTAGGAGCCTTGCAAATTCTCTGCTGAACAGAGATTTATTACCCGGATGTTACAGAAACAATGTCATTGAAGCCATTAACAAGCAAAAGCAGTTTCTGGAAAGTGACTCTCAGGAGTTAAGTTGATTGCCTCTCCTCAGGTACAGTATCTACATGTACAGAAGTCTCCTGGTCAGTGGTCAATGGGTTGGTGCCATCCGAGCACTCTGAGTCATATCCTGCTGTAGTGACTTGAGCAGCATCAGGCATTGCTTCACTGGAGCTCCCGTTTGCACAGTCGACCCTTTCAAAGAGTATCAGTAGCTCACAGTGGGTGGTCTGAGGGAAGAGATCCACAGCCAGTGCTTTCATGGGTCGGAAGGAGGCTCCTTTGACTCTGTTGGAAGGGGCCCTGCAAAGGCTTGATGGGAAAACGAATGAAAGGGGAAGAAGAGCTGTATTAACATTTTAGCAAACTCTTCATCACTGCTTCTTCTAAGGGTTTTTCTTAAACCTCAGCTCCATGACAGGGTTATTCACCAACCCTGTTTCCATTATCACTTGCATATTGGGCAACTGAGTTCCACCCCTGCTGTGTAGCAGCTGTCAGCTGTTCCTGATGAGAGGCAGGCAGACAGACCTCAAGGAATATGGCTTAAAAATAAAAAGCCAGAAACATTCCCCCCAAGCAGCAGTTTTCTCCTTATGATGTTGACTTAATGCAAGAAATACTCACTCCACAAAGTTATTCATTGCAGCTCTGGGATTGCAGGATACATAGATAAGCTTCTTCAGATGTTCAGCTCTTCTAAGGGCAAGAATTACCTTGGAATCTAGATGATGAAAACCAAGATAGCTATTATCAGTTCTGTGCAGCAGCAGACTCCCAGAAGAAGTCCAGATTATACTCCAGCATGAACAAAACCACTGCAATACCCAGTTGCTATGAGCTGTACCTGAAACCTCCCACTTAGTTTTTATTTAATTGGTGCTTTCTTAAGTTCACCAGCAAACAACAATTAGGAGAAAAGACTTAAAAACTTCAGAGGAAGTGAACTTACGCAGCCCTGCTCGTGGTGGATCTACAATAGTAATCAGGTTCTGAGGAGCTAAAACGTTAATTAGGGAAGGAACGAGATCTTCAGCCTTCCCACAGTAAAATTCAATGTTACTCAGTTCTATGAAAAAATGAAAAGATGTTGTTAGAGTACTTATGTAGTCAAAACATATTTCAGTACATTCAATCTGGATATAAGTTCAGATGCTTTAAAATCTATAAATAGTTCAGTCTACCCTGAAATCAATGTAATTCAAACAATTGTTGGTTCTTCAGATTGTTTCAACAGCACTAACTTGAGCATCTTCCATGATCTTGTCTAGAGCAAAGGCCCACAAAAATAGCTACTGTTAATGTTTTATTTATGAGGGTAACTGTGGCTTCATCTCACTTTTGCAATGAAATATTTTTTTTGGAGGGAAAAAAAAGCTACCTGTTAGTCAACAGGAAACTTGATCTCACACATGAACAAGGTATTTGTTTTCAAGAGATTAAATGTTTAAAATGGACAAGATTGCTATCAACAACATGTAATTCCAAGCTGCTTAGATAACATAAAGAGAGTCTAGCTATACAACTACTCTATTCCTTAACAAAGATCGTAACTAACCATTAATCTGGGCATTCACTTTGGCATCCTGCACAGCTTCTTGGCAGAGTTCAATTCCAATCACTTTCTTTACTTTCTGTAGAACCAAAGGAATAAGATGTGGCACGTAAATGTAAATATAACCATTATTCACAGTATCAGTAATTAAACTGCTATACATGAATGTTGACTAGTACCTGGTCAGGGATTTATGCCTTACAGCCAGAAGAATAGGCTGAGAAGGGACCTGTGCAAATAAACAGGGACTTTTTAGACTGAAACTGTGGGATGAACACCATTATCCCTGCCTGCACGTGACAGACTCCAGTTATGTTGGTGTCTTTCTGTTTGGGGGCCAGAGTTCCTTACAGGGTCTAGCAAGCCCCACTGTAAAAACAAGGTAAGAGACATTGGTTATTCATATCTGAAGCTTTCTGAGAAACCTCTAACTAGTGAAGTGAATAGATTCTAGTAAATTGGGCATCCTAAAGAACTGAGTCTTTTGACTGAATTAGTTGCAAAATAATCTAGGCTGATCAACACAAGGGTGAACTTTGTAATGATTTCATAAAACAGCTCCAAGCAATTAATTACAAATTAACTGAAAAAATTAAGATACAATGTGTTGCAGCATTTCAAGTACATAAAGTATTTTCTCTCATTGTAAGCACAACTCAAGATATACATTTGCTAGAAATAGCTTGTATCCAGGAATTGATGTTACACTCTCACCTTTGCCAAAGAAATCCCAATAGTTCCTGTCCCACAGCAAACATCAAGTACAGTGCTCTCCTGGCTCAGCTGTGCCCACTCCCTTATGGCAGTGTACAACACTTCTGCAGCTTGTGTGTTGACCTGTGAAATTACATGTCAAATAGGTCAACTTCATAAACACTAAATGGGTTTTCATGAGTCTCAGGAAAGCCAATTTTCTTTTTCCTGGTTTCTAAGAAACAAGTCAAGTTCCCATGTAAGTTCAAATCACATGTAACTGACACAGGCTGGCAGGTATTTTGAGATCACTGTTCCATTGTTAAAGTCTCACTCAGTTCTCTCTGAGAAGTCATGTTTTCTTACCTATGTTCTAGTAAAAACATGATTTGTTCTACAGTACCCAAGTCTGGAAGCTAGAGGAGACAAAAAATGCTAAGCAATAAAGTGAAGACAAGGCTTTAAAAATACTTCCTGTCCTTGAATAGGAAGTAATAAAGATTCAAAACCAGGAGAAAGTAACCATGACAATACACTCAGCAAGCTTGATTTTAACATGGTTTGTAATGCTGCTTTAAAGTAAATCCTGTAATTAAATATTATGGTTAAGGAAGTAGTGTTCTAAATCAGTGCCTCTAGAGCAAGCATTCTCAATCTTAAAGAGCAAGCAAAGCACATTAGGTAGGAAAAAAAAAAGTCTATAATCTATGGCAAATACTAGAAAATACAGTTTAGCTTCAACAAACTGATGATGCCAAGTGCTATTTCAAGACATTCCATTTCAATGATACAGGCTGCCTGCTGTGGCTTTAAAGTGTTGAAAGGGAAGAAATAAGTCTTGGAGAAACAAACAAAAACTAGTACAACAAATACTCCTGAACTACATATTGCATGTCCCGTACACAAAAGGCTGCTGCTCAACAGGAGACAAATGATACTGAACTTGTAAAAAGAAAATCTTCAGCATGCCCCAATCAAGTTTACACTCATTCACTGAGTGTTTTTACAGCCAAACATAATACTCAAAGGTACTTAATCACACCAAATATATTCGAGATTAAATCTCTGGGTATATAAGTATCTTGTTACACAGCATTAGCCAAGCTTAAGAGCATTACTGCAAATCCACTTAAATTAGCAACTTTGCATCATCCTTACTTGAAAAAATGCATGAGGAGAAATTCTAAATTTTAGGCCAAGAAGTTCTTCATATATGTACTTATCCCCAGCCACGTGCTCCAAAGGCAAGTCTTCTAGATTGGGAGATTTCCTGGGGGAGGGGGGCAAGGCACAGGGACACATAATAAAGAGGGAAAAAAGAAATAAATAAGCTTAACATGTTCATTAAAATTTTTACCAAAGCTGTAGTTATCTTAAAAACTGCAGAATAACATACTAAGCAGTAATTTATAGTGGGCCAACATCAGATCCTTTTAGAGGTGATTTTTTTGGCCATTATTTTTTAAATCATGTACAATTGTTCCATTGATATAAACAGCAGGACCTACACTGTCAACAGATGAAGGAAATGTGAGTCTTGTGCTCTGAGGAAGAGCATGGGGAGATTTAAAAAGTCATATAAATAGGGAAGAAAGGAGGCAAAAGTGACTAGTTGATAATAATAAATGTCCATCTACTACAGTAAAGGCTTCTACAGCTTGACAGGCAGCAACTAGTACTGGGTTCCCCCACAGAAACTACCTGCCTTTTCCCCGTGAACTCTGCAGGAGAATGGGGAATTTCAGAAGAGTGTTCTGGAAAAGGTAAATAACTGTTCAACAAATTAGTACTACTGCTACTACTGTTATGAAATAGAGAAATGAATGGTGTGGAAGTGCTATCTACTTTCTGTTGCAAGCACCAAGAAGCAGAGTGAACTCCCTCACCTTTGTCCTTCCTCCACAAAGTACAGAGAGGTAATGCCACTGCTCTTTCCCACCCCTTCTGTGAAGTATTTTGCCAGAGAGATTTTCAGGTCAGCTAGCTCTTCTTTACCTAATTTCTAAAGGTTGCATTTGAAAGAAGGGAGAAAAATCATCTTAGAGACTTGAGATATGATTTAATGTATGCATTCTATAAACATTAATTACTTGTTCATTTGTAGTTATCAGACTATAGTCTAAATAGAAGAGTGGTAATACAAGATAAACTACACCAAGTAATGATTCTATTTCCCTTTTGCATGCACTATTCATAAAATCAAATTTATGTCATTTTAAAGCTGCACATTATGTATCAACTTAAATACCTGAGGGTTAAAATAAACAATTGCCATGATGTGGCCATGCCTGCTGGTGCGGACTGTGAGCTGCTTCCAGTGACCTTCGTAGGTTTCTGGGCTGTAAACTGAGTAAGGAGTTGACCTGCAAATTTCAGAAGCTCAGTTACTTAACAGGGAAATATTTTGTTGCAGAACATTCAACAGTTCATTGAAACAAAAGCAGCTCATCATGCAAACTGATGAAAAATGTTCAGTACAAACAGAGGCTACTATTTGTCAAGAAAAGAACTCCTTCCACACCTTAGAAAAAAAAGAAAGACATCAACAGATCCTATATCCTGGTGCAAAATAATCTGTCCCTACTTCTCACAATCCTCTTACCTGTTTTAAACCATTAAAAACCAGTGAAGGGATATAGGCATCTTCTCACCGCCTTCAGGGAGTGACACTTCTTATAAAGCCTTCACCAGCTTCTGTGCTTCATACCAAGTTTGAACTTTGTTTCATTATTCAAGGTTTCAATTTTTGATGATTTAATTGTTTTTTTAAAGAAACCACTCCTTTTCCTAAAGAGTATTGTTGCTTAAATTTACAGCTTGTGTTTTTTTCCTTGTAGGATAATTCATCCAAGGAAGCAAATTACCTTTGTTATTCAAATACTTCTTTTAAAAAGCTTTTTTCTGAGTACTTCTTTACAGTTAGTGGAAGAAGCTCTCAAGTAGCAGACACTTTTCATTGCAGATTTACCAATCTCATTGCTTGCAATAAAGCTGTGCTCAGCAGGGATCTGTCCCTGCATCACAGAACAGCTGAGCATGAGCAAGGAAAAAATACTCAGTGATCAAAGAATGGAGACTGGTCTTGAAGCTCAAAACATACACTAAAGCTTTCAAAAAATGTAATTTTATAAATGTTTGAGCAAGATCTCAAAACCTTTATGGATAATTCATTTTACTTAGACTCACCTTATGTAGT